GAAATGACAGTCATCTGGGATAATTTTTGGGGATGCAGCTGCAAGCTGAAATAAACCCCTTCTTCTACAAGTTGTGTTTGGCTATTGTGTTTATCAGAGCAATAGAACCTTAACTCCGATGATTGGAATATTCTGTATATTCATTATCTATTACGGGAACTGCTAACCACACATGTGGCCACCCAACACAATGAGCGAAGCCTCTTCTTTTTCCACAATTGCAACTATTTAACTTAAATCCTCAAATTCACCTGTGTAAACCATGCAGGACAATCTCTACCTAGAGAGCTGCACTGCTGTTGTGTCTACAAAAAGGTATCTTCAAGTGATGCAGCGTTCCACATGTCTGCGTGTGACTGTTTTCTCTCTCGGTCTGCAAACGTTGAGTGACTCAAGGTAGTAATAACCTTTGTAATATTTCCTACAGTAGGGGCAACCAGCATAAATTCTCCAATAGAGAGGTCGAAGTGAAAAACAATAAAGGCAGAAGCATAAAAGCAAAGGAATGAGAAAGCACAGGAAGGAAAGCTGAATCCGCGATCTCAGGTGTGTGGAAGCATCAAAGAATTCACATATGCACAAGAAGGGAAGTCTGAGCCTGCAAGGAATGTTGGGAATCTTAACATAGAGTTTCTCTAATTGCTGTTTCAAGAAATATATACAACATCCCTCAAAATAAAAGTATGGGATAATAAGTAAAAAGTGCTTAGCAGCATCCTGTTTTGGTGATAGGGAGGCTCAAGTACTAGACTAATTATAATTATCTACTAATAAATTTAACAAGTAGCCTAGCTAGGATTTGAACCAGTCTTATGAATGACTTCAATCTAAAGAGTGCTAATCAGAGAGCAGAATGCCAAATGTTGTATATCAGGCACTTAATGAATGGAATGATTGTCCTTATGCAGGAACTCTATAGTGTTCTGAGACCACATGATCACATCGTAAATTCAACTTACTGAGGATCATCTTTGTATATATATCACTTAAAGTTGACAAGGACAGACCTTTAAAAAATATCAGTGTGTGTGTGTGTGTGTGTGTGTGTGTGTGTGTGTGGTATTGTCATTCCCCATGCACCAAAAATTTATCTTAGGACCTCATGCATACAAGGCAAGAACTCTACCACAGAATTGTATTCTCACCACAGGCATGTGTTCTAAAGGTAAGAAGGCATGCAAAATGTACATTAATATACTCTTTTCCTTTCAATCCATCTAAATTATATAATGCACAGGGGAGCACGATTTTAGGATAGAGTTAGAATGATATTTTACAGCAATGGATATCTGTCATTGTTAAAATAATTGCATAAATTACAGCAAGTAAAATATTCTCTTAGAAAACTTCTAATTGCATCAAAATTTTTACAAACATATTTGAAAGATTTATAAAAGTCAGTCAAAACCAGAAGGGAAAATTGTTATGATTTAGAAAATGGAGCGATGGGCAGGTAAAACAATGGCTGTATTAGTAATTTATTAAATTTAGGCATTCCATAATAGATTTAGAGGTTTTTAAACTTTGTGTTGAAAATATTTTTAAAGATAGGGTTCTAGTATGTTCATAGGCTTGCCTTGAACTCATTACTTCCCATGTAGCTGGGATATTAGACTTTGTGGCCTAACACGCCCTAGAATGGCCCCCATATGCTCACATGTTTTCATGTGAACTGCTTGGTAAGAATGAGGAGGTGTATCTTTATTAAAGTAGATGTGTCACTGTTGGGAGAAGTGAGACACTGGGGGTGGGCTCTGAGGATTCAGCAGCCCACAGTAGGCTGAGACTCTCTCTGCCTGTAGCCTGCCAATCAGGATGTAAAGCTCTCAGACACCGCTCTAGCGCCATGCCTGTCTCCTTCCTGCCATGATAATTGACTAGCCCTGTGAAGCTGTTAGCAAGTCCTCAGTTAAATGCTTTCTTTTATAAGAGTATCTTGTTCATGGGGCCTCTTCACGGCAATAGAAGGCGAGTAAGACAGGCCTGTACCAGAATTCATTATGTAAGTATTTAGCATCTCATAATTCAGTTGTAGACTAACTTTGGCCATTAGAATCTTGAACATGTAATTCCAGCTACCCATGAGGCTTAAATAAATTTATCCCTGCCTACAGAGTATGATCAGTCTTAGTGAAACCAACACCGGAATAGTTACTATTTTGTGATCTTGGGCAAATTCACTTGCGTATAAACAAAATTTACTTATGTTTCTTTGACTATAATGTGGGGAGTAAAATGATTCTTTTTTATATTTATCCCAAGGTTTAAATCAAACAATATAAAGACTTAAAATGCTTTGCATGTTCTAAAACACCAGTGAATATTAGCTAAAATTTCAATGAACCAAATAACTTGTCAGAATAGATTAAAAACAAGGCATACTTAAGTAGGTGTAGAGTGTTTACTGTATTTGCTGACAGTTAAAATTTATGAAAATATTCCTGTGTTGCTCTGTTTTATCACAGATTTATTTGGTCCTAATCTTTTAAAAATGCTTGTAGTAACAGTTATTAATTACACATAACAATGAATTTCACTATAGCATTTTGACATGAGTATATTTTGATCAAAGTCACCCACAAATTATCCTTTTCTTGTCATTTTCCTGCTCTTCTGCCTCCCCTTCCTCTTCACATTGAGTCCTTTTCTCCTCAAGTGTTCATTTATTTGAAGGATGGTGTGATAAAGTGATCACTAGAATTTTCACCAGAGTGTGGGCAACCCCTGAGGAAAATGTTATTCCCCCAGCAACTATTAACTGCCTGTAGATTGACAAGACACTCAGGACGGCAAGGTCCTCGTGAGGCCTTCCCTGGTCTGTAAACTCTGAAGACTCTACACTCTGTGTGAGAGGAGAATCTCTCTCACACACACACACACACACAGGAGTCCTGATTGTTTAAGTTCTTAAAAATTTACAGGGAAAAATGTTTTCTAAAAATCCCTTTTCTTTCCATCACAGCATTAGAGTTGTTGGGAAGTAGCTTGGAATCATGGTCAGTTATATACTGAAATTTAGATGTTTTTAGAAAGTTCAGTGAACTCTTAAAAAAGTAAAATAGACAATTGGAACAGTGGACAGGAACTGAAAAAAAAGTGTGTTTGAATTAGTCTTTACACAGAAAAGTGTTGAAAAAAAAGAACAACAGGAAACAAGTAATATAAAGTAGATCCTTCAAGGGGGCTGGAGAAACGACCCAGCAATTAGGTTAAGATCACAGCTTGTTTGTCCAGGGTTCAACCGACCACTGTTTAACTCCAGTTCCAGGGGATCAGACGCCCTCTTTTGGCTTCTGAGAGGAACAAGCATGTCAGTAGTAAATAGCAAGTAAAGCATTCATACACATGAAATTCAAAAACAAAGTGTGAGTTAGTGAGCTTCCCCAAGCTCAGGTCAGCTGTCTCTGACGTCTAGGGGGCCTGCATGGCACCAACGGGGGCCTTTTGCATCCGGGTGACAACTGTGTCTTTGGTGAGACCCAAGCGGTGGGACCAGAACCGATTCCTGATGCATTAACAGGCTCTTCGGAACCTATTCCCTACTGTGGGATGCCTTGTTCAGCCTTGATGCAGTGGGGAGGAGCTTGGTCCTGCCTCAGCTGGCTGTGCCACGCTTGGTTGACTCCCACAGGAGGTCAGATCCGAGGTCAGATCCCATCTAAGTAGAGATGGAAGGAGTGGATGGGGAAGGGGTAGGAGGGAGTTGGAGGGAGGGATTGGGAGGAGAGCGGCTGGAATATAAAATAAATAAAAGATGATTAAAAATGTTTAAAAATAGAAAGAAGTAATGTGTAATGTTATTTATTTCATCATGCCAGTTATTCCTAATTAAAGTCAGTATTTAAATGAAAAAAAAAACCAACCCAAAATTCCTCAAAGGAGTTCTCCTTCATGGCTAAATACCCCACAGCCTAGTTTCTTTCCTCTTTCCTTTCCCTTCCTCTCCTCCTCCCTCCTCCTCCCTCTTCCTATTTTCCTCATTCTTCATCTCCCTTCTCTCTTCCCTGGCTCCCTTTCTCCAGTCTTTCCCTCTCTCTTGTCTCTGCAGGTAGCTGTAGCTGTTCTGGAGGAGGGTGAAGAGAACTAACTGCCCTTGCTGATAGAGGTAGAGGAAGGCCATCCTGTTACTGACTTTCCTTTCGCCCTTGGTTAACTCTGTAGGTCAGCAGGCTCCTTTAGAGAGAGAGAGTCTCACATTCTGTTGGTGTTCCCGTTCCCGAAAGAGGTTCTACTTCCTGTAGGTATCCACCTCAGGAATACACAGAGGCAGCTATTCCTCAAAACCCACGAGAAAGGAAGTGCTCTGTCCTCTGAAATGTCAGAGCACACCCCCACCCCCGCCCCGTGTTGGTAATAAAAGGAGAAGTCTGCGCAATGATCTCACCAAAACGTGATACTCAGGGATCACGGCCCCTCCACCACCCGCCAGTGCGTCCTCCCTCTCCCTCAGACTGTGTGATGCTGTGGGGGTGTGCAGGAGGAAAGAGGTGCAGACAGTATTTATGAATTAAAATAGCTCAAGGGATCTCACGTGACAGTCTTAGGGCACACATAGTGGCAGGCATACATATGTGACTGGGTACAAGCTCAGAAGGACGAGCATCTGTTTGCTTGTCAGGGACAAGCAATGGGCATGTCTACCCCTTAGACGGCTTAAGAGAAAGCATCACCAGATACATCAGAAAAGAGACCTTTGAAAAAATGTATTTGGCATCCATCTGTGGTGGCTTGGTGTAGCACATCTCGCGAGGAGAGCTGCCTGTCCTGAGCCCATTAGACAGGGCAGTTTTCTGGCCTGAAACCCTGGGCGCTTTGCTTCTGCTGTTATTTATCCACATCCCTCAAGGCCACACCCGTTTTTACCTGCCCACTTTCTACCTGGGCTGTCCTAAGCTCAACCCCCTGGCTCCCTCCCTCTGCTGCCACTGTCCCTTAAAACCCAGGGAACTGGGGTCAGTGTTCCATCCATGGGTCTCTCCAGCACTGCAAGTTCGCAGCCTTGGGCGCTCGGGCTCATTTGGCAGAAGGGCTGCTCCGCTTTCTTCTCATGCTGCTTCCCCTTCCTCTTTTCCCAGATAGATATGTAAACACATGCATTTTCCTGTTCAAACGGGGCGAATTGCTGTTCTGCCTGTTCCTTGACTTAGCGATTGGGCTGAGCCTTGCTCCTCCCTTCTCTGCTCGGATAGGAGCCACAAGGATCTGGAGCTCGGGCTTCCAAATTGCAGCTGGCCTCGGGCCAGGTGACCTTTGCTTTGTAAGTTTCTTTCGGGGGGGGGGAGTTGAGGAAAGGAAGGGGCTGGAAGCGAGTAAAGGGCTGTTGTTAAACAGTTTCTTACCGTAAGAGGGAGTTCAGACCTGAATCTTTCCAGTTAATCACACAACAAACTTAGCTCATCGCAATAAAAGCAGCTCAGAACCGACCGGCTCGCAACAGGATTCTCTCAGCCCGGCATCTCCTGCAGAGGGATCAGCCTGCTCGAACTGCAAGCGTGATGTGGGGGACCAAACTTCTGCCGGTCCTGTTGCTGCAACACGTCCTCCTGCACCTCCTCCTGCTTCCTGTCACCATCCCCTACGCAGGTAAGTTTACTTCTGCTTCACGGAGGTGCTTGAACTCTCCCGCGGACCGGCTCTTTCCTTCCAAGAAGCTCTCTAAGCCACTTTCAGCATCCTTTCTGAACTCCATGTGTGGTGCGGGGCTTCCTAACCCTTCCTTATGCTTTCTTCTGGCATTCCTTTCTGTTTGGAAAAAAACATGTAAAATGATCATTAGCATCCCTCTGCGATACCCCCACCCCCATGGAGCCCCACCTCATTTAGCCAAGCTGTCCGGAATTATGGGATAGGAATGAAGTGCTAACCCTGGCTGGAACTTTGCTGGTTTGGCCAAGTTTTTTTTAAAAAAAACAAAAAACAAAAAACAAAAAACGAAGACAGACTTTGGCTTGAAGAGGGGAGAGTGATAGTCCATCTAACCGGGGACCCACGATTTCCCAAAAGGAAAATTTCCTATAAGCGTCCCTCCAGGCAACCTCCAGCTCCAAATTATGACATTGCGCAGGTCTCCACTTGGAGGAGGCAGATTAAGCTCTGAGTCCATGCATGTTATAAAAATGAAACAGAAAGCTTTTCCTTCCAAGCTCCTCTTCTCTCGGGGTATGGATGACTACCCTGGATGCTGCAGCGTGGGGAGGAACCACATCTGTGGCTTGTATGGATGCAGCAGAATTGTCCCTCTGCCTTTGCTTGGTTTGTAGATTGGGGAGGAGACCCTTGATCTCGTTCAGATTGCCTGAGTTTTGGAGGGTCTCAAATGCTGGTAGAGGAGGTTTTCTCTTAGTAGGGAGAGTGGAGCAAACATCTGTATTGTGTCATTACTGCAATGGCCGGCAGGAGAAGCTGAGGAACTTTAGGGTAGGGCCCAGGGAAATAAAGACTGTAGTGGGGGCCTCGACAGCAGCTAGGTGACCTTGTAAAAGCAAGAGAACAAGGAAATGGCCTCCTAATTTAAGATAAGTTAACTATGACATTTATCGCACCTCTGATCTAGTATCTCATGTAACACAAGAAGTAGCTAGTGCTAATAAAAGTATTGAACCCACCTGTGTTTTTCTGCCTTGGGAAGGGACTCCTTTTCAAAGAAAGACACGTTGGAAAGTGTCCTTTGAAAGGGTGTAGGCAAATATTTCTGAAGAAGTGGTAAAGAACTTAGAGAAGCGTCATACTAATACCTTTAAGACATTGTTAGGTTAAGGGGTGTTAGAATTAATTTTGATCTTGGTCCAGTTTGTTGGTTTCAAAGGCTAAAATGTTGTTGCCCTGAAGTGTGGTTACCTGAACTCAGCTAAGCTAATGCAAGACCTCGGTTTGGAAAACTCAAACAGTAGATCGACCAAAGACAATGTCTCTTTATTTTTCTGGCGTGCAGCACACACTTTTGGCAGGAGATAGACATTTGTAATTATCTTTCACTTTGGCTAATGTTGAGATGACTTTGTTTCCTGAGTATACAGAGAGCAGTCTGAGAGGGTGCCGGCAGGCCAGGATGGGGCTGTTGGGAATTCCAGCTATATGCTATGAATAATTCCTGAAGTGGGCAATACTAAAATTGTCATCAAAAGAGGGCCCGTCTTTGTTGCGTTTGCAGCTTTGTTTCCACAGTCTCCTTGTTCGAAATGACTTCCAACATGGAAACAGGTAGTTTTTTTTTTCGAACATGTGATGGGAGTTTTGCTCTATGACTTTCCATGTGACGTTGAATATTTACTGTGTCCTTGTTACTTGAGTGGCTATTCACCCGACAGCAAGCGGGTCCTCTGACATGCTGAGAGGCAGTCGTGAACAGAAGATGTCATGGAGATGTTTTTTTAAAGAGGTTTCTTGAGAAATATTTGATGCGGATGATGCAAGCGGTTTTGATAGGAGCTTATCTACGACATAGCATTACCATCCAGTCCCTCACACTGAATACTGCAAGCATATGTTGAATACTCCATTGGAGAAATTAAACATTAAATGAGCACCTGTTGTTCAAGGGTCTGAGGGAAGGCAAATGTGATCAGATGGGAGAAGAACTGTGTTTCTTGAGCTATAGTGCTAAGAAATGAAACTAAAACTCATTTAGTCCTAACACCTGCATTCTTCAATCTATTTGACATGTAAAAAAGCGGGGTTTGAACATCTTAAAAGTTATCTTTGTTAACTACGGTACTGACCTAAAATTTCTGATTTCTAAGTGAATGGAAAATGTAATTTTTCTCTTATACTAAAGCCCAACACTGCCATCAGTTCAAGCATACTTATGAAAAATCATTTGACTAAGTGATTAAAAAAGGAACCAACATTAGCAAAAAGGAAGACAGAACATTTTTTTTTTTGCATTAGAAAATGTCATTACAGTGTAGAGGAGAGTTCCTTACTTTAGTCTTCATGCTTAGTTAAAGATGCTTGTCGTACCTAAGTCAAATATGAGAAGATGAGGTACAGCATTGATGGGTACCCTGGTAGGATTGTTTCAGGAGTTGCCTGAATCCCAAAGGTAAGAAAGTGTAGGAGATGCTTCAGAAAGACCTATAGACAGCAAGGGAAGATCACTTCTAAGGGCTGGTATACTGGGTTCCTAGTGGGAATATAGCCCTGTGGTTGGAAAGGGAAGGTGGGATAGAATGACAGCCTTGCATGTCATGCGAAACCAAGGGGTCTCAGTTGTGAACATCGGAGGGAGCAAGTGAAAATTTTGCACGCACAGGACACAAATAGCTGCACTTCAATGTGGTTACTTTACTTGCTGTGTAGAAGAGCGTTGCAGCCAGAGGGGGGCAGAGGCAAAGGAGATCAGGACAGGACATAGACAATGAGGAATCCCAGAAAGGAAGTAGGTAGATGGGGAGACACCCAAGCTCACCTTGAGCACTTTATCTAGCAAGTCTTCAGGAGAGAGGTTATTGTGTTGCTTCTCTGTCACCAGCACTCAGTCTAAGCTTTTGATTCTCACTGCCTTCGTTTACCGTGAGATTAGCTCCTCCAAAAAGGGGGAGCACATTGCTGCCAACGAGTCAAGTCTGAGTCCTAGACGGTAGCAGTGGAAAGTGGGACTTCTTTTGGTGATCCCTATCTCCAGGAGTTAAAATTCTCTAGGCACAGCCATTGCCTTCCATCAATTCTTTGTACACTTTCCTCTTAACGTCTTGACAGTTCAAACTGTTAATCACTAATCATGTGGGTAGTTGTCTTCAGTTACGGGGAGCCAGGCTCCTACTCTTTCCACACCCTGCAAATCCTTCCTTGGCCTGGCTTGCCTTTGAAGTCCACGGTTCTTCCACACAGAAGGAAATATATGAGGTACTGAGAGAAATGAGCGTTGGGCCCAGGGGCCGTGGGAGAAATGCGTCTGTCTGTGTCTACCTTCACATGCTGGACGCTGCTTTCTGTGTGTAGGTTTCCACCAATCTCGGTTCTAAACCAGGGACTTCAGGTTGTGCAGGAAATGTACCTTCCAGAATATTTTCCTAAGCTGGGAAAAGAGAAAGGAGCATAATTGAAAATACAGGAAAGTGGACAAATTTGCAGGGCTCTCTTACCCTTTGATTTCACTTCAGTATTTTCTTTATGAACTTTAACAGACACGATCAAAAAATAGTAGGCAAAAAAATCTGTTCCAAACGTATTTTGAGTCCCCCCCCCCCCGCCTCCCCAGGTTAAGCTTGGCTTTTTAATTGTTTTCAGTAAAACAAGCATCAGTTGCTACACGTGGAAAAGGCAGTGACATCTATTTTCAGCAAAGGAATTCCATTTTCAGATGCTGATTTTGAGTGGCTTCTGTTTTGCCTTTTTTCTCTTATTGAAGAAGTAATTAATTTTATAGACGCGAGAAGTGAATGATGTATACGCACTTTGAACTTCATATTCTGGACTAATGAGCGAGTGATCTTGTCTAGAGACTGAGTTCTGAGGGGAAGTTCAGATATTCCAGTGTCAAGGGACTCCTGGTATCTGGTTCTGACTGGTTCTTATTGGCACTGAAGCTCTGGGGCTGCGACATTACACAGCGAGGCGAGATTATGGATTTACTTATTTTTCAGGACGCTTTTTGATCTGTAGTCGTTCAGCCTCTACTGGCAAGCAAGAGGAGCTGGTTCTAGGAGGCAAATTCGTGCATGGACACATTTCAGTAGGACAGCGGAGGATCTGTAAAGTTAATCAGTGCCTCCTTTCCAGAGATCAGTGTGCACTCTCTTATAGCATTGGCCAGTGGCTCTGTTCGGATTGATAATTACTAAAATAAATGCCTTAGGAACTAAATGCTTATCAAAGCTATTTTGAAATTACTTTTGTGTTTTTAATATCCTTAGACTCATACATAAGACCAATGATATATTCTTAGTTGGCAAAATTCACATATACACATATATATTATACATATATATACTATACCTATATATAGGTATATATATACTATAGGTATACATACCTATATATAGGTATAGTATATATATGTATGTATATATATGGTTAATTTTGACAAAAGCTATTTTTAAAACAAATATTGCTCAATGTAAGCTCCTACCACTTACAGGAAATGCTTAAATTTATAAGGAATTAAATTATCTTTATGGTATGAAGTATTTAGGAGCACCAAAGAAGTAGAGAAATAAGGCCGCAGAAAGAGGAACTCATGATGGAAAAATTATCTCTCATTAACAAGATTCAATGATGAGAATGTGGATCTGCCAGTAGCATGGCTTTCTTTCTTGTAAGAAGAGCGGTTGTGCCAGAAATTCAGTGATAAAATTTCAAAAATAATACCAGAACTCTAAAACATCCATTTCGTTGCAATTCCTAATTGTATTCATAATATTTACTTAATGAATATAGCTCAAACAGCTCTATTGATTAATTTAGCCTTTTTATTTCTAGATTGAACAATCAGTATCTTAAAATTTCATGTCATTACACAAAGTCAATTGGCAAGTCAGTAAAAAATCCCAGCTTCAGCTGCCTGTCAATGTTATGCAAGGAATTTTTGACCCCAATTTCATGAAATAACATACTGATAGATTATTTGATTGACTTTATGTATCAAGGTTTTGTTTAAACAAAATCTCTGACATCATAGTAGTTGTATCTTATAGCCCAAGGGAAAGCATCACCGCAGGGGTTAGTACCAGTCTGTTGGAATCTGTGTTCTGGAGTTTTGCAGAGAACTCAGACCTTGGAGAAGTGCATGTTTTCTCTCATTTACTGTTGACTTCAGGTTCGGATAGACGTTAAGGAGCAGCATCTGCATCCTTAGTAAACCAACCGGTGCCGGTTGTTGCTGGCAAACGGGATGATGCCCTTCTCGGCACTGCACTCCGGGAGCCATCTCCCCAACTTTCCCGACCGGAAAGCTTCACCCTCCTTTCCTGACAGACTTCACAACATCTAAAGAGAAGGAATTCATTTCCTGTGGTAGCTTCCAAGCTTCTCTTCAACTGATAGCTCTGAACCAAATGTTCAGGAAATGTTTACAGAGCCCATGTCCACATACATTCTTAGCAATTCTTAGATAAAAGATGGCCATGTGAATGGGTCTGGGTGCTAGCTTTGAAGCTGGGTCTCTGCTTTTCCGGTCTGAAGTCTTCGAAGCGCTCAATTCATTGCTCCCTATGTCTTTCCTTACCTCCAGCTAAAAATGAATGCACTAAATCGCCATTGTCTTAAGGGATATTAAATAAGCGGATGGGCAGATGTGCATGGTCCCATACTTGTTTTGCAATAGCTGTGGTGTAATAGATGATTGGTGCAAATTAGTTTGATCAGTATTATAATGGGGTACTTTTGGGAAATTAATAATGAAGGAATAAGCCCGGCGGTGGTGGCACATGTCTTTAATTCCAGAACTGTGGAGGCAGAGGTAGGTGGATCTCTGTGAGTTCGATGCCAGCCTGGACGACAGAGGGAGTTCCAGGACAGGCCCCAAAGCTACACAGAGAAACCCTGTCTTGAAAAACAAACAAACAAACAAGCAAAAAGAATGAAGGAATAAGTTCTTATTACTTTCAAATTATACATAAATTTAAGATCTTTATGAATTGTTGGTTCTGTTTTTCAGGTTTATAGTAAGTTTCATGCTATCTAAAGGTCTTGCCCCTTCATGAAGAAAATTGGTATTGCTACATTAAAGGATTAAACTTTCCAGACATTTGATTTACAGTGTTTAGATTGATCTCAAAACAAATCGTTTCATGAAATTGAGAAAGAGTGTCCCAAACACGGTATACATTCTTTTTGCACAAAACTAAGAAGAGAGGGGCTAAAATATGTATAGTATGGAGCACTTAAAAAACAAGTCAGAAGAATTTGTCCAGTGCAAAGATTTTGTGAGAAGTTTCTCACTTGCCTTTGAATAGATTTACCTAGTTCGCAGTTTAGCTTCTATAAGGAACCACTGAGAGGAGAATTAATTACAAAGTATCCATGTGCCTCTGGCACCGATGTTTGATTCTGTGTTGTCTGGAGAGCATCATCTCTTTAGGGTGAGCTTTGTCCTAATTTTGAAATAATTATTCTTTAAGGTTGTTTATTCTTTGGGGTGAACTTTGTCCTAATTTTTCAATGCAACCTTTATTTGAAAGGATGTAGATTAGTGGATTTACATAGCAACTATCTGTTTTTAAATACTTATAATGTTCTTCTCTCTTTCTCTTACACATCCTCACTCAACTCTGTCCAACCCTTAGAGGTATGCTGTGTTGTTCTACAAAATCATTATTTTGAGGATGTTCCTTAAGACATTTCCCCCTCTATAAATATTAAAAACCTTACTTTCAAGTTGAACTATTTAATTTTTGTATTAATAGAAGGACAGAAGAAGAGAAGAAATACACTTCATGAATTCAAAAAGTCAGCAAAGACTACTCTCACCAAGGAAGATCCATTATTGAAGATTAAAACCAAGAAAATGAACTCAGCGGATGAGTGTGCCAACAGATGTATCAGGAATAAGGGCCTTCCGTTCACTTGCAAGTAAGTCTCTTTGTTTCTTTATTGGGTATTTTTCAAATAAAGTAAGTATATAATGACCATATTTTCTCTTCTTTTTTGCTAGCCAATGCAATGGGTCCTTTCGAGTAAGTTTGAGTCTAGCTTTAACTCATCACAATAGCAGACAGAGCTCTCAGCCGGTGGAAGCTGAATGAGCATGTGCGACTCTGAAAACTGCCTTTCAAAGTAAACAGTTGCATTGGCTATGGATTTTCAACAATTAACATGGAGCTAAAATTCAATTGGACTGAATTTTATCTCTTTTTTGTTTTGTTATGTGTCTTGTTTTCTTCCATAGCAGAACGTTGCAAGGATTTTCTGGGTAGGAACTGGGCAACAGCCAAAATTTCCTGCAACCTCTATCATCTCTGTAGGGATTTCAATAAAACGTGTTGATAGACTCATATAAACCTAGAGCGACTGGTGTCAGCAGCACAGACTGCTTCAAAGAAGCTGGGGAGATGTTGATAAAGCTATGGCGGAGAGGGGTGGAGCCATTCCGAGGCTCGAGTGGCTTCAAGTAGAGAGGGTCTTATCTTTTGACAGCCCCCTTCTCCCTAAGAATTCCTCATTGCCTTGCCAGTGATCTCAGAGGCGAAAGCTTACAACCTTGAAATAACAAAGTGAAAATTTCATCTGAAGTGGCAGTAAGAACATCAATTTCCTGAGCAAGGTGTAGTGCTGCATTCTTATAATCCCCAAATGAGGAAGTTGGTCATTTCAAGTTCAATACTAGCCTGGGTTACAAAGGTATACACACACACACACACACACACACACACACACACCATACTTAAAAAATGTGTTGTGTTGGTTTATTTTCTAGTGTTGTTTAAAAAAACAGCACTGGGTGCTGGAGAGATGGTTTGGTGGTTAAGGGCACTTGCTGCTTTTGCAGAGGACCTGGTTAGTTCCCAGAACTAATATTAGGGGCTTCCCTAACCCCCTCCCCCAGCACCCAACACCTGTACCAGTTCCAGGGTATCTGATGTCCTGTACTGGCCTCCAGAGACATCTGCACACATGTGGTACACATTAATTCCCTTAAGCACACCCATATAATCTGATAATAAATAAATCGTTAACAAAAGATTATGTGCCTGGGATGTAACTCAGTGTTGGTGTGTCTGCTGGGAATGCACAAGACCCCAAATTTTATAGATGGTATTAAATATGAGATTTTTGAAGACATTCTATGAATGTTCAATTCTTGCATATTCTGCTTTTTGACAGTGGCCTTTTATGAGAATACAGAATTCAGTGGTTTCATGTGAGTGGTACCCATTTAGTGTTCCCTGGCTCAGAGAAATGAGGATTATGGGCCCGTAGGGCAGGACATGGTCACAGAAGGTCTTCAGCAGACTTAGGCAGAGGAAAGACTATCTCTTCTCTGTTTTCAAAGCCAACTGCCACTCCCAGGAAGACATTTCCTGGCAACCACAGTGGGAACTGGATTTGCAAGCTTGTCCCTAGGATAACTGGGTTTCAGTTTGACTTTTGTGTAAAGGCCTCGAGATTGGGGAAAATGAAGCAGGAAAGATTACTCTCAATCAGCGTCCAAGCTGCATGAATCTATGGAGATGTTCTATTGGCAATTGGGCTGGCGTTGGGTCTTCTCTCCTCAGAGTTGCAATGGAGGGGAAAAGCAATAGAAGACGCACATTTTATTGTGATTATTTAATGCAGAACTTGAAGATAAGGATGAGGTAAATTTAGAGAAAAATTCAATGCTAGGAATGTGATGGTCCCACATACTTCACATAAAGGAATACCATAAAGAGCCTATGCAGTTATAATCAGAGGAAGGAAAGGTTCTATACACTGGAAATCAAAACTGCTTTTCTGACTGAAATTACCTTTAAAAAAGCTAAAATATTTTCCGGTATTTATCAATTTGTTTTAGTTAATACTTTTAGTAAGCAATGTGAAAAGCAGTATAATATTTGCTGCAGGAATAATGGGGACACATGTAGACGTCTTCCATGAGAATATGAATTAAAAACATATTGTCTAATGTTAATAGTTTTGAAATAAAAATGTATATGATAAACTTATTTCGGGAGTATTGACTTAGAAACAGTACCTTATAGTGAGACATCCATTCTATTTAGTAAATTTCACATTTTATGGCTCACCAAACAAGGATATTGTATGACAGTTTCCAAATATTTCACTCAGATTCTTCTTTTTTAAGACACTATTTAGGGGTGGTGATTTGCCTAATACAGTTTTTTTTCCTCAAAAATTTCTTGTATGCTTAGAATATATCTCAGTCATGTCCAGTCCCCAGTGCATCCAACTCTTCTCAGGCCCCCAATACATCTTGCTCTAAAATTCATGTCCTTTAAAAAGAAAAAATGCCCACTGAAAGACACTTACGGAAATGTTCAACATCCTTAGTCATCAGAGAAATGCAAATCAAAACAACTCTGAGATTCCATCTTACCCCTGTAAGAATGGCCAAGATCAAAAACACTGATGACAACTTATGGATGTGGGGTAAAGGGAACACTACTGCCTTGCTGGTGGGAGTTCAAACTGATGTAGCTCCTTCAGATATCAGTATGGTGATTTCTCAGAAAAATAGGGAACAACCTTCTTCAAGACCCAGCAATATCACTTTAGGGTATATATCCAAAGGATGCTCAATCGTGCCACAAGGACATGTGCTTGACTATGTTTATAGCAGCATTGTTTGTCATAGCCATAATGTGGAAGCAGCCTAGATATCCCTTGATTGCAGAACAGATAAGGAAAATGTGGTACATTTACACAGTGGAGTACTACACAGTAGAAAAAAATAATGACATCTTGAAATTTGAAGGCAAATGGATGAAACTAGAAAACATCATTTTGAGTGAGGTAACCCAGACCCAGAAAGACAATTATCATATGTATTTGCTCATAAGTGGTTTTTTTTAAACATAAAGCAAAGAAAACCAGCCTATAAATCACAATTTCAGAGAACCTAGACAAGAATAAGGACTCTAAGAAAGACATACATGGATCTAATCTACATGGGAAGTGGAAAAAGACAAGATCTTCTAAGTAAATTGGGAACATGGGGCCCTCGGGAGAGGATTGAAGGGGAGGGGAGAGGCAAGGAGGGGAGCAGAGAAAAATATAGAGCCCAATAAAAATCAATAAAAAAAGTTCCCACTGAGTTCAATTCATGGTACTTACATGTGCATGACTTTGGGTCGTCTAGTGAAACATAGACAATCTACTAGTGGCCACACCCCTGAAAGAAAGGTGACCCTTTCTCCCTTAGCAGCCATCGGCTGGCCATGGCTCCTCAGGAGCCGGTCATCATTCCATGCTGGACACAACTGGCTTGGTCTTGTGTGGGCAGCAAGAGCTGCTGTGAACTGCTCTGTGGAACGGCCAGGTTGTGTCCAGGGGTGGCATTATTTCATAGCACGCCTCCCCATCCCCCAGCTCTTACACTCTTTCTTCCTTCTTTTGTAGGATGTTCTTTGAGCTGGGGGGGGGGGGGCAGGTCCCTACAGTTACTGTTCTTAGTACTTCGGCGGTTAAGGAGACTGTGCATTAAGCACTATCTACTTTGATAGGAAACTTCCTTGACCGAGTATAAGAGATGCACAATGCTATTTTTTCCAGGAGCCTAGGGACACAGCCTAATGCATCTAATCATTCTAGCTATTTTATTGCAAGACTGAGGGGGGACATCTAAATCTCTATCCATGCTAGGACATGAATTCCACTGACCTATATTCCTAACCGTTTTATATATTTTGTTTTGTTTTGAGCCAGGGTCTTGCAAAACTGTTCATGTCTGCCTTGAACTTACTCTGTAGTCTATATAGGCCTTCAATATATTTCTCCAATCTCAGCATCCCTGTAGCTGGACACAGGGCTACATCATTAGGCCCACAGGATGTGTTATTTTGAGAATACATTTGGATATTTACCAGCTTTGCATGCTAATTAAGATATCGCAAACGTAATCACTTGATTATAACTAAAACCTTCCAACTAACTGGACACTTCCAAAACTATTAAAAAGTCTTCAGAAATAATCTAGGTAGTTGTTATATGCAATGTTGAAACCTTCAGTTTTTCTACAAGTCATTGTGATTAATGTCAATACTTTCCAGAGTATTGATCTGGTTTTCTAATCGATACCTACAAAATCTTTGTTTTGTCCTTCCTTTTTGTTCCATCAAAATCAGGAACACACACACACACACATGCACGCATGCACACACGCATGCACACACTACTGTATTTTAATATGCAATAATGCCCTATTCTGTATGTCCTCCTTAGTAAACCATGTGTCCATTAAAAACAAAAACCAAAACTGTTGAATTGTGCCATTCTTTCCTTTCACTCGGCTGCCTTTTTCAGGGCCTTTGTTTTTGACAAGACAAGAAAACGATGCCACTGGTTCCCTTTCAATAGTATGTCAAGTGGAGTGAAGAAGGGATTTGGCCACGAGTTTGACCTCTATGAAAACAAAGGTAATGGCCTTCTTTCTAAGCACTACATGACGAGATAAAGGGTAATCCCAACACTTGCATTTTCTTGCCACTAGGTCTTCCATGCTGGTGTCCTGGTCAGTCCTGACCTGTGACCCGGTCAGGCACTGATTAAGGCGGAAGAACCTGGTGCCTTGACTATGGTTGTCGGGATACCGCGTTAGACAGAAGGCTGTGCTTCCCAGATTTCCCTTCATTTAGATCCATCTTCCGCCTCAGCTTGTCTTTTCAACATTCATTTTCTGATGTGTCATTTAGGCTATGAGATCAGCATACCCTATACTGTGGCAAATTTTAGGATTAAGGTAGTATTTTCAATTATAACAACTTTGTGCAGCTCATTATATTGGCGGTTGGTGATGATAACAAAGCATGAAGATTTGGGGCAAATAGGTTGAGTTCATGTGTGCATGCTTTAAAATTATTTAATTAAAGAATTAAAATTGTTAATTTGTCTATTATGTGAAATTATATTATATATGATATAATATGTAACTATTTACACTGTTTAAAAAGCAAAAATATACCAATGAGATAATTATATAATATTAAATATGCTTTTGGCAGGTTAAATATTTCATTATGTGACATAAAAATTATTAATTGAACTTATGAAAATGATCTTTATTTTATTAATTTTTTGTAAGAACCTATTGTAGCCTCTTGAATTAGAATATGGATGCCAAACATAGACACCTTTAGGTCAATTTATTGGATCTTTAAGTAAAAGCTAATAGTAGGAAGTAGAACAATTTTTACATACCCCAATAATTTTACATATCTGAAGTCTAATTTGTGATCAACCAGGCGTCCTTTTACTCAGTCTTCCTCCAGTTGACTAGCTGCAAAGCCTCTTGTCTAAAACTCATATGCTCCTGTTTAGAATTCAGTTCCCTGTGCTAGAAGCTGATGTTATTTGAAAGTGCAGAACGATAATTGACCCTGCGTAGTTATTTCACACCACCACACACATACACACATAGAGAGGTAATAACAACCGCGAAACCAAACAAAACCACATGACTTTGCTGAGCTGGGAAAGACAAATCAGTTTCACTTTCTGATATATTAATTCATAATTTAAAATAGATTCTGGAAGTTATCTATGTTTTGCTTTTAATATTTTCTTAGGTGTATTTATTCAGTCAAGTTCCAGTGGTCTACCCAGCGGAGTTTGTAAACTCATTCAAGTAAAGGATGAAGAATAATCTCTGTACTTAGCTTCTATTATACACACAAAATTGAAACGTGTGACTGCTTGACTTGCTTGCTTTGCTTCCCTCTGAAATGTCCTGCTTTTAAAACACTAGTGCCAGCTTTCAGTATCGTTGGAAATGGTTTGTATCAGTCAGTAACTCACGTGCATAAGTGGATTCTTACCTTTCCTCTCCAGTGAGTACAGCACGCGCTTCACATAGTTCTAACCTTCTTTCCTCTTGGTTAATCAATAGACTATATTAGAAACTGCATCATTGGCAAAGGAAGCAGCTACAAGGGGACAGTATCCATCACCAAGAGTGGCATCAAGTGTCAGCCTTGGAGTTCTATGATCCCCCACGAGCACAGGTAAGAACAGCATGGGGAAAAGAGGAAGCAAGCTAGCCTGTCTGCATGGGAACAGTTACTCGTTAGTTCTCTGGCTAGTTCAGCCTTCCACCATTGCTCAGTCAGTTTGCTGAACTACACAAGGCCAAAACTTACACAGAATTTTATGGAGCCATCAAAAGATTCACAAGTTTATTATTTAAATATGGCCTAGCTTTTTTTTTTTTTAACTTCAGTGTCTCAGTTTGTTATTGAAAACGATTATCTCTGCTTTTTGCCTTTGAGAGGGTACTTGGAATTCATGGGAATCCATGATTTAGACCTCACAAAAGGTGCGCTTAAACCTTGGTAGGTCTCGGCTACGGCTGCAGGTTAAAATGACTCACTGAAAACCTTGGAAACTTCCACTACCAAAGTTACAAACAGATCGACTGAATTAGATCCTCCAGAGTAGGGGTGGGGATAGCGGTCCTCTATTGGTTCTGAAGGGCAGATGAAACTGGAGCCCATTAGTTAGAGCTCTCTTGCCCCAGATTAACTGGCTTGCTGCTTCTTATGTCACCTGTTGTTAAAGTCTTGAGAAACATTTTTCTTCCACATTACACATCTACACCGAAGAGAACTTTATTCACTATAGCAGAAGAAAAGGATTTGAAGATCAATAAAGATAGTATTCATAGGCTTATGAGTTTCTGATCATCATGGAGGAAAAACATCAACATTTCATATGCACCAGAGAATCAAATGTCCAGACCTATTTCACAAATAGTCTCAGTAATAACTCAACTAGTTTGAAACAGCTCTATCTGGTTAGAAACTTCAGCTGATGGTTAAGTTTACCATGTTAGACAGTTAACCCGGTAGACAGTTAACCTGATTTTTTTCATATATTCCTTAGACAAATAACACAGCACATGTCTTTCTGTTCTTAGTTACGTAGTGCAAATGTAGCCCAAACAGTCTAGTGTTTTCAAGACAGTTTCCCAGGGAGCCCAGAATGTGCAGCAACCAACCCTCCAGCATGAGATCGTGACTCTCCCTGCAGTGTGTCTTTTCTGACTTGTCTGTATTAGCAACACGCGATGCCTTTCCTTGATGAATACACATTTCATTCCTTTCTACATCGATTTTTTAATTCATTTTACATAACAGCCACAGTTCCCTCTCTCTCTTCTCCTCCTCCCTACCTCTCCCTCCTCCTCCCATCCACTCCTCAGAGAGGGTAAAGCCTCCCATGGGGAGTCAACAAAACCTGTGATTTCAAGGAGAGGAAGTACCAAGCCCCTCCCCTCTGTATCAAGGCTGACCATGGTATACCACCATAGGGAGTGGACTCCAAAAAGTCAGTTCACGCTCCAGGGATAAAACCTGGTCCCACTGCCAGAGGCCCCACCAAAAGACCAAGTTACAGAGCGGCCACCCACTTTCAAAGTGCATGGTTTGGTCCCAGACAGACTCCCTGCTGTCGGCCCAGAGTCCGTGAGCTCCCACTAGCTCAGGTAAACTGTCTCTGTGGATTTCCCCGTCATGATCTTGACCCCACCTTGGTCATATAATTATTCCTCCCTGTCTTCTCCTGAACTCCAGGAGCTCGGCCCAGTGCTAGGCTGTGGATCTCTGGGTCTGCTTCCATCCGATGAGCATCATATTGGATGAAGGTTCTATGATGACAGTTAGGGTAGTCACCAGTCTGATTACAGGGGAAGGCCAGTTCAGGCACCCTATTCCCTATTGCTTGGAGTCATCCTTGTGGATTCCTGGGTGTTTCCCTAGCCCCAGGTTTCTCCCTAACCCCATAAGGGCTCCCTCTATCAAGATATTTCTTTCATTGCTTTCCCTCTCTGTCCCTCCCCCAAACTGACCCATTCAGTTCCCCCATGTTCTTATCTGCCTTCCCCCCTCTCCCCACCAGTTCCTTTCTACTTTTAAAAAGCATATGCTTGCTTGCAAGATTGATTTTGTTTTAGCAAACATATATGAGTTAACCAACTGAGGTATAATGTAAAAGTTAGGTTGTTCAATGCTGTAATGAAACCTTGGGACTTTGCCTGACGAACCCTAGCTAGTGACTGTCCAAGTTAATTGAGTCTGTAGTAGTATTTCAATAATAGGAAACGACAACGTTCCAAAGTAATTTACAACAGTTTTAAAAGAATGTCTCTAAAACATGATATTGCCTCTAGATCAGAAATAATATAATGAATTTTGTTCTTCCTTATTATAGGTGTGCGTAAGGAAGAAAACTCATTGGTTGATAGTTAGACCTAACTTTTCACTAGCAAAGAAATCCGATCAAAATCAATCCAACCTTAGACCAGGAGAGTTCTAGACTCAGTTGAGGTTTTATTTTAACCCGAATTCTCTATAATTGTCATTCTCTGCTTGAAGAGTAAATGTGAAATGAATCTCCCTGGGAACTGGCTTTTCTATCCAAGTAGATATTGTGCCAAGGAACATAGGCAACTTACATATTATTCAAATCCCCATTTTGTTCAAGGAAAGCAATACTTAATTTTCATCAATTAGCAGTTTAAGGGGGCTAGCTTCGTGATAACTTAACACTTTAAAATGAGGTGGTAACCAAAGTTTAATTTAAAAAAGAAATATGTTTTTGTCTAGCAGAGTGATTTATTGTTGACTTTCTAAACTGAAATATTTTACAAATGGCTTAATGGAAAGATGATGATAGATGTTGAAATTAGTACAAAAGCTTAACAGAGAATCAGGTGACCTGATATCTACATCTATATCCATCACTGGCTTCCTAGCATTCATTAATGAAGCAGATGATAGAATAGATCAAGTTTTCGATGAACACAGTTTATATTAAAAAGAAAGAAAAAAGAGGGAGCCTAGCACCCAGAAGACCTAGTTTATGGTTTAGAGTATATTTGGACATAACCCAGTTTTAAATATTTCTTCAACTTATCTCTCTTAAACTTTGCTAACAGCAAGGACAGAGATAAAAATAGTATCTATGTGAGTAACAGCTCAGTACAGACCCCACGGGCTGGCACAGGCCTCTTGTGGAACAAGCTCTCATAAACATTCGTCTAATGAACACCTATACGCGAAAGAGCAGATGAGGCTTCATACCCTGACCAAGTGTGGGATGTTGCCTGAACACCTTGTGACACAGAAGAAAGCCAGCTAGCTTGGGGGAAGGTCGAAATCACCAAATAAAGAAACGAGAAGCTCTTTAACCTCTATGACCCAAAGAGAAATTTGATGTCAATTGACTCATAATTATAAAAACAAGAACATCTTTTCTCTTCATTTTCTGACTTTAACCCCAGTGAGAATTTTTTCTTCTTTTGGCCATGTTCTTCCCCCGTCCCCTCCTCTCTTTGCCTCCACCCGACCTCCAGCTACTTTCTACTTTTAAAAGAACACATTCTAAAATCACTAGTCTCTTCCTTCTTTGGTTATACTGGGCAATTTTATTTTATGATTTGAAACTTTTTTCCTTCTATTAAAATCAGACATTTTTTCTTACACAGTGTATCCTGATTATGGAATACCCTTCTCTCAGTTCCTCCCCACCTCCCCTCTCATCCAGTTCTCTGAAATCACTAGTGTCTTCAGTAAAATATTGTTCCCTTGACAAACCTGTAACTAAATAAATAATTGTCTGGGGAGCATCATTCCCACACCAACCAGGTGATAAGTATGTACATATGATGCAGGGATGGCTCTTAACTAATATTACCACTGCCCTTTCCTAATGTAAATTTACAATAGACTTTCCTTAAGTGAATGTAGTTGATGAGTTACTTCATCAAATATATAAAGTAAAAAAATCAGTTTTATTTCTGATAGAGCAGTATTTTGTTATAAATTTACTATGAACATTTGGAGAAGTGCTAATCAATGAAAGAAAATATATGTCAGGCAATATTACAAACACAGGACACAGACACAAAATTCTAGAATGACGGAACTGCCTGCACCTAAGAAAAGATCAATGGTTTATCTTTCAGAATCAATTCTTGTGAAGGCTTTAAAAATTATAATTATCTTTAATTGCATTATTTAACTTCCACCAATCACATGACCTAATGATGTCTTATTTCTATTTCCTTTGTTTAAAATGCGGGTGAAGCAAGGATACGAGTACTTTATGGAGCTACACCTTGCAATTGCTTAATTCTTACAATGCTAGTTCGGTTCCTTGCCTATGTTTAGTAATGTCTTAGATTGGCTATTTAATTTTTGAGCACTAATTTATGTCTTTTGAAGGCCTGGCTGTGGCATTCCTTCATGCTCAGACAAAACCTTCTATTGTGAAATGTTGCTTGGAACAGGATACACGCCAGTATTCATTCTGTGGTATAACATCTTGATTTTTAAAATGATTCCTCTCACTTTCCTTTTTGCTTAGTACATAATAACTTTAAGTGTTATTTAAGTGATATTTCGATTTATGTCATAGACCAGCTCTGGATAATTAGCCTATCTGCTACCCAACTATCATGTCACTCGATAGAAAACTCATTTGAATCATATTTAATGAGAGACTTAGCTCTTTATAGCTTGTATTCATGCACAAAAGTGAGGCCAATAAACGTAGAAACATCTTTTAGCAAAAGCCCAGTTAACTACTAAACTTGTGACTGGGTTGAAATGTTTTTACTGGCATTGCCTATTGAAGAATGGTCTTCTGTTGTGATGCTTTGGAGGGAACAATTAAAGGATCCGGTACTGTAAGCATTACAAACAGAGACTGCTTTCACCTCTTCTCTTCCTGGAGTATACTTCTGGGTCACAGACTGCCACTAGATCTTTAGATATTTTTGGCGAAGCTACTAAATTGATCTCAATATACCCAATGACACACACTTATGGACTAAAACTGAGAACACCAAATCTCAATCTCAGCCATTGTTAGCAAACCTTTGGAAGAGAACAAGCCACTAGCTTCCTTGTGACGGCACTGACAATGAGTTGGGTCTCTTAATTATAGGTGTCATTTGTCAAGTGTCTCATCATCTCCTTCAAGTTCTCACAGCAGCCATATGAGATCTAAGTTCTTATAAGTGCTGGGTTCTTAGTGAATCACCGAGCAAATGGTTCAGAGGGGTTAAATTATGTTCTGGGATCTCACAGTTGGGATGAGAAAGAGTTGAAAATGGTTCCCGGGCTTATTGATCCTGGATTCTTGGCTCATGCTACATCATCAATCTTTTTCTCAACTGTGAAGAAACAAGGTGTGTGTGTGTGTGTGTGTGTGTGTGTGTGTGTGTGTGTGTATGTGTGATTTCCCTCCTGAGGAAAGCAGTGTATAAGCAGATAGCGACCCCGGATAAGCAGTGTAAGGTGAGGTCTGCAAGTCAACTGCAGAGATGGTGGCTTAGGTTTTTCTAAGTCTGGGAAATTGTTACCTGTGATTTGGAGTGTTGAAATTGTATTTTATAAAACACACGATTATATTTCAGAATATTTGGGCTTGAGGCAATTCAGAGGCTAGTCATTACTGATTTGGCGTGGGATACAGAGAGTTCAGTTAGGTACATTTTGATAAAATGCAAGTATTTAAGCATATTGGAACCAGCAAAATTTAAGTCCATGCTAAATTGCATGAGTAGATGTTTCTCTACTTTGGGGGAAAGTATACCCAGTCACTAGTATAATTAATAGGCTAACACTAATGCTGCATGCTCTTATACTGTGACGATTATCATTTTAAAACTAGCTTTTTGCCTTCGAGCTATCGCGATAAAGACCTGCAGGAAAACTACTGTCGAAATCCTCGAGGGGAAGAAGGGGGACCCTGGTGTTTCACAAGCAATCCAGAGGTACGCTACGAAGTCTGTGACATTCCTCAGTGTTCAGAAGGTAAATGAACCTGAATACCACGTGGGGCACTACCTGCCCCCCGTGTATAGAACTGTAATTCACCTTAGAGGTTAACAACCATGAATCAGTTACAGTGAATACGCTGTTCATTCAAGTGCAAGCATAGATGGTAATGGGAGCGTTTGCTCACAACATATCACAAACTTGGGGTCATCAGAGGCATGCAAGGTAACGGCGCCAGTTACCAATGCGAATTGCAACACCAGCCTGGAATAATCTTCTGTGAAAAGGAACAGTGGGCATTTACTTGTTCACTGAAGCTCACCTACCTCTAATTCTGCTACCGTAGACCAGCTGAGAGCACCTAGAATCTAGGTCAACCTTTGCGGGTCATGTATCAGAGAGTCCTGCATATCAGGATGATTCATAACAGTAGCAAAATGACAGTTATGAAATGGCAGCAAAGTAATTTGTGGTTAGGGGTCGCCACAGCATGGGGAACTGTGTTAAAGGGTTGCAGCATTAGGAAGGTTGAGAACCACTGCTCTAGATAAAACTGGCTTTGATTGGTAGTCTTGGTGCTGTTCATCCAGCTCTTGTTTCTGGAGAAATGTGGTTAAGGCTGTTTTGAAGCCGCACAGCCCAGACTGGATAGATTTGAGAGACGATATGCTGGGGTTCCCCCAAACTCAAATTTCCATTTTATTTGGGGGGTGACTGCAACCACGTGTGAGGCATGTCTGCAGCTCTGTGCCATTTAAAAAAGTGTTGGAGAAGATCAAACTGGGGTCCCACGCTGCCTTGAAGGCGAGCGCCTAAGCCACTTCTTGCACTGTGTTCTCACTGTGAATATATTCTGTATTTCCTTTCGCACTGGAAAGCTGGGTGACCAGCAAGATGGTACAGTGATCGTCTTAGCATTGTGTGCAGTTTCATTTCTCTCAGTCGTTCGACCACAGAATTAATTGGGTTTTTCAGTTCTGTCAAAGCTCCTATGATCTCGCAAGTCCAGATGAAACACGAATGAAATCGTTTTCAGATTTCTTAGGGATTTGAAGTACTTGGGGAATGGAAAAGACCTCTGGAATTCTGTCCATTTTTTATAGTAGGATATCATACCTGTTTATTAATGCAGTATTTTCTATATCCTCCATGAATACCTATTTTATATTATGTTGCTATTTATCATGGAAGTAAAGGCGTTGTTGGCTAACTGTCATGGAGAAGGAGAATATGTTTGTCATTCGTTAAGTTGCAGCTCTCGACTTCATGTGCTAGACAGTGCGTCTCTGTAACCTGCTCTTCTCCATCCCATGTCATATTCTGTTCCCTCCAACATCTTCATTGTTTCCTTTCCTTTTACAAATAATAAACGCATCTGTGATAACACTATGAATAAGTCTGTTTTGTATGACTAAGTCTGTAATGCATATTGGTCTCTAAATTACACCTGAGAGAAAATAAACCTCTACATTTAGAGAAATCTCCACAAGCATAATTTTTCTGAGATTGAGAATCACTGGCGAGTGTATTTACTGCTTTCGTTTGGTCTGAGAAAGTATTTCGGAGGGCAGGTAGTTTGTCCAAACTTTCTACAGCCTGACTCCTGCATTCCCTTCCTAGTTATTGGGATATGATTTTCATTCCTCGCTCCCCTTTTGCAAACACATTGACATTTATTCTCAGGGGTGATGTAAAATATAAGTGCTAGAAAAGAAGTATTTTAAAAACACTCTTGTTTTTAGCTATGCTTAGGAAGAGGTAATTCCTTAACATCCTTCACCAGTTTGAGGTCATGAAACGTCTCTTAGAGGAGACCATCGTTCACTGGTGTGGAAGACACGTGGTGTCGTGCACAGTGACACAAGTGTACGGATAAGTGTTTTCTGGAGGTCTGATCAGAGCAGAATCAGCCTTTAGAAGTCAGTGCACACCTGCTCTATTGACTAAACATGTTCAGGCATCGAGTTGAACAGGGAGATTCTAAATTCAAGCTAAAGTGAGCTAAGTTCTATGTGGATTTTAATGAAGAAAAATTCAAAATAAGCAGTTTTGTCAATACACCCATGAACCATAGAACCACTCATAAAAAGGGTATTAAAAATGTGAAACTGACATACATGTGATGTGAATAGAAACACGAAGGAGAACTCTCAAAATCCACCTAGCTTAAACCATATGATGAATTGGCTGTCTGTTATTAGGTTTCATTTCTTAAGTGGTAAGTGGCAGAGATTGCCTCATTATGAATGAGTTACTAATTATCAAGAAGCTTTATAATTTTATCATTTGAAATAATAAGATCCTATGATCAAATTTTGTTCTGTAGTCTTTAAAAGAGGGACTTCTTGGACCTCTCAGAGGGCCTGTTCATCTTTTACACCAACCATGGCTTTGCCTCCTACAACTTAACATTAGTTTTCTAACTTATACCTAATTAATTTATTATATATTACCACCATTTGCTGATTATTTGTTCCTGTATATGTTATTAATTTTATCTATACTTTAACGCCCAAGAAAAACTAGTCTCCAAAAGCCATTCCCTCAAACACATAGAAGTTTTCATCCTATCACACGGTGAGACCTTATCATAGCTGCCCACTCCAAACCTGCTCAACAAGGACTTGACAGTTAAGGAGAGCTGAAGGTGACTTTTATGCAATTTAATGTGGAGGCACGTTAATCTCCCACATTCATTCTGGAAAGTAGTCATGTTATGTAGTCACGAATTTCATCTGTGTAGCAACTTTTTCCTAATGCTGTTAAACTCGAAGTCGGAAAATATTTTATAATAATTCCCACAGGAATGCTTCCAAGAAAATAGTTCTACTCCATTTTATTGGCAGATATATTATTACAAACTGCAGAAACAGTTTTGAGCGGTACATTACAATGGGAATAGGTAATCTACTTTTCACTGAATACAAAGGAACAAGCAACAAGAACAGTACCATTTTCATTGAAAATAGCAAAGCTTAACATCCTTTTAAAAATGGGGAGAACAATAAATTTGTTTCATTCAAATGAAAGGTGAAGTGTTATGAGCTGTAACCCAAGTGAAGCATTTCGGTATGAATGATAGCAACTAAACTGAACACCTTTATTTGTGACGCCACCCTCATTCACAGTTCCGGTACTTATTGACTGTATCCTGTGCAATCTTTGCATCACATGCAAGAAACTGAATTGGTCCTTCGTCTTAATTCATGGCTTATCCTATAGGAAAAGAAAGTAGATGGACACTCCAATACATGGATCATATATTCAGACAGCTAACAGTTAATGTCCCGTTATGTTATTAAAGTAAACATTTCAGAAGAAGAGACCATTCTAATGTCACATACCGAAACACTCCCAGTATTTATTAGGCAAGAATCCAGCAGATAAATTAATTTTAACATTAATATCTTTCCTCACTCCAGCTAAAGTTAGATGATCAGTGCTCACAAGATACAAATGATGTGTTTGGGGAAGCCGGACGGCTTCGTAGGAGAGCCATGCCGTGATTTATTCCACAGGATGCTTGCTGTGCTACAAATCAACCTTCTGCTTGAGAAATCTCATTTGCAGCTAGTTGATGGGACTCAGTTTTCAGTGTGACTTGAAACCAGCCAGAGGTGAACAATTAATTAACCCACAGAGCCATCAGTATGATCCTGCATAATTAGATCAGCTTATACATTTTTAAAGAGTGGGCGCACGGAGTTCAGTAGCAGGTCATCTTCTGTCAGGTAAGAATGCTAGCTTGCCCACGTACTCAGCATGAATAGCTACTAACAGAATGGAGCTGTAATTCCCTGTAGATTTGCGTGCAAAAGCTTGTGTTTTGAAATTGTAGCTGACCAGTTGTTTGGTTGCTCTCGTAAGTGTGTCAGTTCTTTATGGACTGGAGGTATATGATACATGCTTAGTTGAAGTCCCAAGATCGTATGCATGTGTGTAGATGGCAAGAAGAGTGAGAACCACTAGTGTGTTCGTGATACACGCACTAAGGTCTTACACTGTAGTTCACAGGGGAGCAGTCTGTGAGGGTCCATCTTATATCTCCAATTTTTATGTATTTTGGAAGAATTACTGAAAATTAGGCAGCATTATGTCCCTACATTAAATCTGGATGGAATTAAGTTAATATAGTATAAAATACATGGTGCATTCCATAGGTATTATTTTATGCTGCAATTTATGGGCATACGATCCCAATTTAAAATTAGGATGGAGTGTATGGCTATTGAAGTTTTAATAACTGATTAATTTACTGTTCTAAACAGAACAATGGTATTGGTTTTACCACCAGAAACAATTAACACAGCATATTTTAATTTTATTAGTTGAATGCATGACCTGCAATGGTGAAAGCTACCGGGGTCCCATGGATCACACCGAGTCAGGCAAGACCTGTCAGCGCTGGGATCATCAGACACCTCACCGGCACAAATTCTTGCCCGAAAGGTAACATCTCATCACATCTTGCTCCCATAGCTTCCTCTTTACGTACTGTTGTTCATTCTGTAACAAACCGCCGTGGAAATCCTTTCTTTATAGCGCAGAGCCAGGTAATATGGAATTAGCTCTTCTACTCTGGCTTCTGCCACAGTTGTTGGGGTCTGTAGAACGTAGTCTTGGCATGAGAAGATGTGTTTACGGTTAGACATTTGAGAACAGTAGCTACACTTTCGGCTGAGTTGCTAAAGTAAGGAAGATTGTTGACCAAAACTGCCAGAAAGATGCAGAATGCAAGCAGTAGCAGAGTCTTCTCTTGTTTCCCGTAGCAATAAACAAACAGATGAAAACAAAGCAAAACAAACAGTCCAATGTAGCTAATGAGATAATGGTTACTTTGATAGACCCATCCTTTTGGCAGACAGTACATTGCTAAGTACAACCAAATTTCCTCTAGCATCTTCAGATAATTAGGCCACATGTCTAATACCTTAGCATAGTTCGTGTCCACCGCGGAAAGAAAAGACAACGCAAAACAATCCTCTGGCTGTTTTAGCCTCATGCATTTTAAAATGGCCAAAATGTCATGTGAAAATTTTGAGTTGAGAAAAGAAAGCAAAATGTAATTAATTTTACAATAAATGATTGAAAGGCAAATAATTAGTCTGTTTCCACCTTCCTTTAGAAATTGGTGTAAACTGGTTTTTTTTTAACTTTTCTCCACGTTTTTGTTTATTTCTTCTCTTTGCTCTTGTAAATGGAATGAAAACTCTATTTTTTAAATGCGTGTCATTTCTTTTAAGTGAGACCAGAAAGGATATGGTAGCAATTAAATTCAAACCACCAGTCCAGGGTGCTGCTAATTTAAAGGGAGGTGGGATGTGGGGAAAGTGGTGTGATGGAGTTTGTCTCTTGCTCTGGTGGAGGTGAGGGCATGACCTAGCAAGGCTCCATTTCCAAAATTGAGCTGTCATTAGCAGCAGAGCTATTGAAACCGGACTTCGGTTTGAAGTTTAAGCCTGCCCTAGAAAAGAACCTGCTCCCTTAATGAACATTCTACACAAGGTCATGTTTGTGAAATTTGTCTTTAATTGGACTCTGTGGAAAAAAGAGATGCAGTTGGAGATCCTAACTGAGGGACAGGTCCAAAACGGACCTACTTTAGTAACAAAGAGGGTGATGCTGTATCTTTAGTGGAATGTGTAAATGAAATTGGGCAGTTAGCGGCTGGCAGACCCCATAAAGCAAAAGGTGGGAAACCCATCTTTTCCATGCTCTGGCTACCAGGCTAAGTGGAAAGCTATTCTGGGACTTGAGGGCTGTGTATGGTGTTTCTAGGCAGATTTACGTGACACTTTTCCTGGTGTGGTTTGCAGATATCCCGACAAGGGCTTTGATGATAATTATTGCCGCAATCCTGATGGCAAGCCGAGGCCATGGTGCTATACTCTTGACCCTGACACCCCTTGGGAATATTGCGCAATTAAAATGTGCGGTAAGTTAGGGTCAAATTTATTGCTTCCTTTCCCTTTAACAGATTGGATCTAAGCAGCAATTATTCGGAAGATAGGTCAGCAACTATTATACTTCATATCTTGGTATGTGTGAGTTTTAATAGTCTAAGACTGTTGTGTCGTTCTACCCAATCTTTTCAATTTTCATATAAAATTGTTTTGAAAGTGATGCATGCATAAGTGTACACATAGAAACATGTTCATACATGTGATAGTAAAGACTTGCAGGTCAATGCTACCGAGAATTTTTTTTTTAAGTCTAAAGACAGAGAAAATGAGCAGGGAATATGCACATCACTCCGAAGTTCGTATGGCTGAGATCCCTTTTGAGTTTACACCTTTTCCTGTACCCTTTCTCCGCCTTGTCTCTCGGAGGAGTAGCTTGAGCTATTATCTGATAGCAAATCTCTCTTGGATAGAGGTAGACCCACAGTGGGGAAAGTATGCCTCACTGAAGCTTCTCATGGTGTCTGTAACCTCGAGAGAGTGATTTCTTCCCTCTGGCTAGCCTCAAACCTGGCCTACATTTTGTTTCAATTTACTATGTCCCTAAGTTCTGTTTCTAGATGCTCACACTGAGCTAACTTCTCGGGAAAGAAGCTAAGTCTCATGTCCTCTAACTTATGATATCCCCTTAAATTTGTGCACGTGGCCTCTCGTAATATCTGATTTGGGCTTTTCCTCTTCTTTGAAGTTATACTGTGTAATAATAATTAGATAAAGACATGCTTTTCTATGTTTAAAGTTCTTATTTTTGCAGCTGGAATAGAAAATGCTTTATGATCAAACTGCATACATTTATAAAGATAGAATAATGTAAATTGGCTGGAGAGTTTAACGTTATGTATTGATATGGAGATACATAAGAAGATGACCTATAGAAAGTGATATAGCCACACCCAGAATAACATGAAATTATGAGCCCGTGGGTAGATATTTGGATGTTTCCCTGAACCAGGTTGATGAGGAATATCTTCTGACTATATCCTAAAACATTATTCAGGGTGTTGAACTGTCGGTCTCTTTCTTAGAGTCACCAGTAAGAGAAAGTGTTTGGGCAAGTCGTGGAGAAGGGACAGAGCGTATGTGCATCCATCACAGCTTCTGGAAGCTTCTGGAAGCTTCTGGAAGCCTCTCAGCTGAGACACAGTGTTCCAGGGAGATTGAATCATCTACTCTGTCCTTTAAAATCTACGCTGACTCCTTTGACAGTGCTGCTCTGTTGAGACTGGATTAGTTCCACCCATTGACTTATTTAATCATACTCATTTCTCCATCTTTTTAGATCAGGGAGATACAATACACCGATTGTTTCTCTTTTATTGTTGCTGCCCTAGGCATTATTAAAGCCTCCTCCTGGAATAGGGGTAGTAGACACACACAGGAATGCTTGGCGAACGAACCCGTGAGTGTAAACTCACACCATATGAGCTCACATTCACATGTATTCTCACATACATGTTCACCTTTTTTAACGTGTATAAACAGGAAAGCCTAAATACTATTCTCTATAGTTCTAAACCAAATCACGAGAATGTTTTAAAAAGAGGTTGGGAAAAGAAATAAAGAATAATGCTTCTGTTATTATTCTTTCCTGGTTTTGGGGACAAGGGCACATATCTAAGACCCCCTGAATTTTACTAAAATGCATTTGCCTTGAGGTTTTAAAAACACTAGAGACACTAAAATCAGAGATATTTTGAAAATTCATTAGACATATTTATGGCATTTATCAACACGGACTATTAATAATTCTATATATCTAGCAATCATATAGACATATATATGTACACCTAAATGCTTATATTTGTGGATGTCCTACAATCATAGGAAATTTAGCAATTCAATTTTAATATATGAATTTATTTCAAAGCGCTATAATGAGGCGAGAAATAAAAGATGCTCTCACTAAAGTATCTGAAATACAGGCTACGAAGAAATAGAAGGTAAGCCAGAGGAGCAGGCAGAGAGAAGACAAAGTGGAGAGGGGAGGTGTGGACAGCATTCAAGAGGTTGAATGTGAAGAACATCTGTCACATTGGGAGGACCTGGACGCGGGAGGAAGGAAGAGCAAGTTTCCCAGGGTGTTGTATACATGATTATGTGAGAGGTGTTAACCTAAGGATGGGAAGTGCCAAATTTGGGTGGGATTTACGTAAATCCACCCTTCCGTCCGCTGTTGGGGAGTGTCCTTAGTAAGTGGTGACCGAAAAGCCTTGGCTGTGAGGCCCTGTCAGCCGGGTGACAGCTTCTGTGGGCATGGATATGATGAGCAACTGCTACGTGTCACACACCTGACCAGTTGTGAAGGATGGGAATGGGACTGAGCTGCACAAAGCGATTACCCTGGAATTTCAGAACTTTCGCAAGAACTGCAAAAGCATAGCTGAACTGTCTTGATAGAGAAATTCATGACTCACAGAGTCACAATTTAAATGCTATTCTTTCTTTTTCTGATAAATGAACTCTTTCTAACGCTTCCTATGGTCAGCGTGTCTCTGGAGGTGCAGGACGGGTGTTGCTCACTGTCTGCCAGTGTGTGCCAGAGTGCTCTACAGAAGGATTCTTGTCCTTCCTCACAAAGGGGCGGTATAACGTTTGGCAGGCCCAAGCCTGTGTGGTGCCTGTATGGAATATTGGCTTTCTTTTTTTATGCTTTTCTTTGGGACAAGCTCATATTTTGCATGCTTGTTTTGCATATTAGTCAGAAAGAGTTTTGGTTGAGATTGATGGTATCGGCCACATTAGTCATCTGGTGCTCATGAACCTCCCGTGTGAATGATGTCCCTTAGAAAGCTTCATTGATTGTTTAAGTCAATTTACAAACTTCTTGGACTGTGTTGGGGGAGGCTTCTGTCCTGCTTGACCCCACAATAAACACACAGAAACTGTTATTTTCGATAATGCTTGGCCAATTGCTTAGGCGTATTTCTGGCTAACTCTTACATCTTTTTTGTGTGTTTGTTTGTTTTGTTCATCATTTTTTTTGACAGGGCTTCTCTGTAGATTTGGAGTAACTCCTATATCTTAAATGAACCCATTTCTATTAATCTGTCTATCACTGGCCATGTGGCTGTGACTTACCGGCAAGGTTCTGGTGGGCTCCTTGGCAGCTACATGGCTTCTCTTGGACTCCTGGGTGGCTACATGGCTTCTCCTGACTCAGTCTTCTTTCTACCAGCATACAGTTTAGTTTTCCCACCTAGCTTTACTCTGTTAAGCCATTGGCCGAAAGCAGCTTCTTTATTAACTCATGGCAATAAAACATATTCAAAACATGCAGAGGGGAATTCCACATCGGGACTGGAAGCATTTTCTGCTCTGTCATTGGGGTCTTCAACATATCTCTGTGGGTTATGTGAGCAATGCTTACCATATTAGAAATTAAAAGCATGCCAGCTCATTAGTAATTGTGAAAACATTGGCTAATAACACAGGTAGTTTTAATAAGAAAATATGTAATTTTCAGAATTAAAGAAATAAATCTGTGGCATTTTAGTCTTTTGCACCTTCCTTCCTTCCTTCCTTCCTTCCTTTCTTCCCTCCTTCCTTCCTTCATTCTGTCCTTCCTTCCTTCCTTCCTTCCTTCCTTCCTTCCTTCCTTTCTTCCTTCCTTCCTTCCTTCCTTTCTTCCCTCCTTCCTTCCTTCCTTCCTCCTGTCCTTTCTTCCTTCCTTCCTTCCTTCCTTCCTTCCTTCCTTCCTTCCTTCCTTTCTTCCTTCCTTTCTGTCTTTTCTCTCTTTTTTTGCAAATTTCTTAGTACTATCTTAAAAGAAGGCAACCAGGCATGTTGCATTTTCTGTGCCTTCAGCATTTTGGACACAAATGACCTTATAGTGTTACTGTGGAGATAGTCTCGATTCCGCAGGCCCCTCGGGTTCTCAGGAAAGCCAAGTGTACATGAAAGCACTTTTTTTGTTGAGTTAGATCCCTGACCATTGATTTGGTCCCTTGGTGTGCATGCCATGGAGCAAACACACCTGTTGCCTGCTCTGATTGATCTCAATCTCTCAGCACCAGTAACTTAGCGACCTGAGGACTTCTGTCAGACCTTTCTCTTTGAATTTCTTTATTAACCCCTTAGAAGGGTCTATTCTGGGATTGAAATTCTCATTTGCATGATTGTAGCAATTGTTTAACTTGTTCAGAATATAAAATCCCAGGATAACCCCATCACTATTGCTGTCCTCCATATTTCCTCGTTGGTTCCTCACCTAGAGCTATCTGTGGAGTCTTCTGTGAATGTCCCCATTTGCCATTTTGTTTCATCACTATCCCCATTGTCCCCCCCAAAATATTATTTTTCATCATCAGTATATGGATGAATAGTTTTATGAGAGTAGTTATAATTTCTTCACGGTTTTCCCCTTCCATTTTCTTTTATGCACTATGAAAGGCTAATAATGTTTGCAAAATTCTGGTGACATTAATTCTCATCCTTAAGCTGTACCATAACACGCACACACACAGACACACACACACACACACACACACATACAGACACACACACAGACACACACACAGAATCAAAATACTTCAAAGGCTTTCTTTGATCCAAAATGAAGGCAAAACGAAGTATCTTTTGCTCCTCTCCCACAGTTTTAATGTTCTAAGTGACCCCATAGTCCGCCAGCTTTCTCTCCAGGAGTCTTGCTTGCTGTCTCAGGTACAATGTTTTTTTACTTTTTCACCTTTTCCTTTTCTTTCTGATGTCTCATGCACTCCGAATTCCCATGGCAGTTCGTTTCCCCTACTCTGCCTTTCACAACCGTCTTCTTTCTTTCCTTGTCTAGATTACAGTCATAACTTCTATGAACTTTAACCTGGCCATCATCCCCAATAGAAACACTTTCCTCTTCCTCCCTCTCCTCCTCCAGCTTGTCCTCCCCTTCCTCCTTTCCTCTTCCTCCTCTCTCCTTCTCCTTCCTCCTCTTCTTTCTTACCCCTCCTCCTGCTTTATCTTTTTCCTCTTGAGACAGATG